AATAATAATAATAATAATAATAATAATAATAATAATAATAATAATAATAATAATAATAATAATAATAATAATAATAATCTTTTTATTAAGTCAGTAAGTTAATTGAAAATGTTGCATTTAAATAGTGGGAGAAAATGGGAACTTGGTGTATTAAACTAATTTGCCTGGGTGGATTAAAAGCAAGGATTTTTTAAATTCATGGTTTAAATTTTTAAAAATTATATCATTAAAATTCCAATTTTAAATTTAAACTATTATTTATATCAAATTGATGTAAATCAAACTGTATCTGTAACTTGCCTCATAGCCAGAAGAGAATATGCATTTGGATAAAGCAAGTCGTTTCTGTTAACTCCAAAATGTAATGACTAACATTTAATATTGATCAAATACTATGCAAATTAGGCATATACAGTATTATCATTGAACATTGTTGTTAATGCTAGTAAGACATAGTATGTTGAATATCTCATATATCTTATTATGTTAAGTCATCAATGTCAGAAGCAACTTGACTACACACAGCAAAACAAATACATTATTGGAAGAGAAAAAATATTACTGAAAAAAAATCAAGATTCAAAGATTTTCATGGTCATAGAATTCAGTACTGTATATGATCTTGTGTCTTTTACTACACCTTTTCTTGGTTTAGTTATATGGATGTTGCTGTGAAGACAGATGGATGGTGAGATAGAAATAAAGGTAGAAGCTTTGAGTTTCATGGAGAAAGATGATAAAATATAATAAAATCCACTAAGTTACTAAATCTAGATTTCACCTGCATATCAGGAAAAACTACCTAACTTGTAGAGCAGTAGAACAGTGGAAGTACTTACTTTAGGAGGTGGTGAGCTCTCCCAAAATTGGGAGAAAAAGAAAAATCCATCTGTTGGATGTACTGTGATATGGATGCCTGCACTGAACAGAGTGTTGAACTTATTTAACTTATATGCCACCCACTCTACCCAAAGGTCTCTGGGCGGCTTACAACAATTAAAATTCAATTAAAATACAATAAAAGATAAAATGATTAAAATACAATTAAAATAGATACTCTAAAAATTGCCATCAGGACCCACAGTTGATGTTATTTCAATTAAAAGCCTTCTGGAACAGGAAGGTTTTGATCTGGCGCCGAAATGTCATCAACGCCGAAATGTCATCAACATCAGTCGGAAGGGTATTCCATAGCCTGGGGGCAGCTGCCGAAAAAGTCCCTTTGTCTACAAGCCATCCCTCTTATCTCCTTGAGGGAGGGCTCTTTCAAAAGGGCTCCCTGGCTAGATCTTAACTGCTGGGTAGGCTCATGTGGAAGGAGGTGGTCCTTCAGGTATTCAGGGCCCAAGCCGTTTAGGGCTTTATATGTCAAAACAAGCACTTTAAATTGGGCCTGGGCAGCAACTGGTAACCAATGTAACTTAAACAGAATCGGCTTGATTTGTTCTCTAGCAGTTCCTTATAGGCTCCTTCCAACTCCCATTATTATAGAATTCTATGAAAACATCCATAAACTTATAAGTCATTTTAATTTTTGTTTAGAAATATCAACTGAAGAAGAGAGAGAGGTGGGAGATAAGAAAGATACATCCCTTTCGAAATCTAAAAGGAAACATAAGAAGAAACATAAAGAGAGACACAAGATGGGTGAAGAAGTCATTCCACTAAGAGTCCTCTCAAAGTATGTTAGAGCATGCAAACTTGCTATTTTGTTTTTTATTTATACAGTAAAATGCTACCACAGCATAAGCACTTTGTGATTTTCTTTGTTGAAGTGATAGCATGTTTCCTGCCTTCTTGATTGTTCTAGGAAGCTAGCATTTAAAATAACAAAAGTATAGTACTTCCTATATCAGGGTAGATAGTCAGACTATCCCACTCTCTAACCATAGCCATGCTGGTCTAGGTGACAACCAGCAGTCAAACATCAGAATTACTGCATGAGTTTTCCTATGAATTTGCCTTTGATATAGACAATGTTGCTGCAACACTTGATATTCCATGTTTTCAGATCAAGATCCAATTTAACAGCTAATGGAAATCAAAGTCACCTCTGCAGATCTTTTATTATTTTACATTTGTAAAACACAATCATCCTACATTTTCCTGAGAAAAATCACAAAGTTCTTTGCATTGTATTTGCATTGAGCCTTTTTAGCATAGTTTTCATTTTAAAAAAATGTTTTGGAGGGTTACATGTTGTACCAAAACCAATTTGATAGCACTAAACCTAACTGGACAAAAAACTTGCAGAAAGCCATATTAAAGTCCCATGGATGCTATCAGGTTTACTCTATGACTGACTCCATCTGATTAAAATGTCCAATCAGTTTGTTCTTATGCATTGAAAATTCTATTCATGAATTCCAGGATGGCACAATATTGCCATATATATTATAATATCAGTTTACATGACTTTACATTAATGGGGCAATGCTGTTTAATCCCTAACAATGTTTTTAAAGGTGGGGGGGGGAAGGAAGGACAACAAGGAACTAATGTAACAATAGTGCTATATTTATCTTGCTTGACTGGCAAATTAGGGCTGATGATCTTACAAAATCATTTTAAAATACATTTGTGAGCCAATGAAAGTTACAGAAAAAAACTGAATTCATGAAAACCTCCTAACAAGGATTATGGATAAATAATTCTTTATCCTTTCATGAGGTATCAGATTTTCAAGGAAGGGCATAAAGTTTGAAAGGATATTAGAGAAAAAAACATTTAAGTATCTGTTGCCTATTATATTAATCTTTCTTGTGTAGCGATATACTTCTGTTTCCCCTTCTCTCTTTTATCTGAGAAACCTGGAATAGAAATTTTATAAATAGTACCACTGTGAAGCTTTAAAAGTTGTCCTCAAAAAACCTCCTCCTCCCCTCCCCCATTAGACTAGATTACCTGCTGGTAAGGAATTCTCACTTACTGTATTGTTGCCTCTGCCAAGCAGATTCTCCACCAAACAGCAAATCTGAAGGAGGTGTGTATTAAAAATGGTTAAGAAACACTGCCATTGATTACAAAACTTATTTTCCTTTTTTTAAAAACAGTGATCAATGAACTGCAGAGCTGGAAGGAACCCTATGGATCATTAGGTCCATAGGCAGAATCAAACCATTTAAGCTCTGAAGTCAATGAAAATGAGAAGGCTTTCCAATTAAAACCAATGCAGTGACTATTTTTGCTTTGGTCATAATTTTAGTTTTATTGCATGAGCTAAGTAATTTTGCCTAAATCCAGCATAATAGTAGTGCACTTGTGCTTTATTATACTGTTGTACCAGCAGTTGAACAACAAATATGTGTGTAACAAAAGCTATGAAATGTTACCCCCGACTTAAATCAGAAAGCAGGTCTTAACCTAGCAAGGTGACATGCATTTATTTCACTTGTATCAATCTCTATTTTAAAATGATTCTATATTCTTTGCAACTATGTATCACTTTGATAAGAGCATTTTGAAAGCTGATGAAAATAGAATTACTGTAAGTACTGTATCCCCTTTTTAAAAGAAACACTGCCATATGCAGCATGAATACATTGTTATAGCTGTATTGTATCACATGTTGAATGAATATTATAAATGTTCTATAGCTTATAGTCCCTCACCATTGCTAAAGTGCAATTCCAGATTTTACAGGACAGAGCTGCATATTAGCAACAGTAAAAGATTACAGCAAAGTACGTTTGCAGAATATTATGTGTAGAAACACTGGTGTGCATTTCAGTAAAATAATATATTTTTGGTATAGCTAAAACAAAGACTGCTTCTTTTTGAAGCCTTCTGAATGTCATCCATGTAGTTACAAATTTCTGGATCCTTTTCTAATATTCTTCCAGTGTTGAGTAGTTGATTAAAACAGGATGCACCAGCACTAGAATATGAAAGCACTTCTTAAGAAACAAGACAAGTACTCCCACATTATAGTGGTGGATGGTCCTTTCTCAGAAATCTTTTCCTGTGAAATACAAAGTCAGGTTTAAGTTGTTACTTTTTGAATGCTGATGCAGCTTTATTGATACTATTATGAAAGCACTTCCGCCAGTTGTTCAAAAGAATTTTTTATAACATCTGATAAATGCAATAATAAAAATGCAATACATATGTCCACATTGAAGTTTTACTAGCTGATTAAGGTTATAGTCCTAAACACATTTCCTTGAATAGTAATCCTATTAAAATGAGATTTGTTGCCAAAGCAAATGGGTTGAAGATGTTAGTCAATAACAAAGTTTTGTTACCAGTGAAGCATTTGAGAACTTATTTGGCCTTGTGCAGTGGGTTCTCTATTTAAAGGCAGTAATGGTCATTTTAAAATACCGGTAGCCACACTTATGCTTCTGTTTTTAAGGGCTGCAATCAATGGTAGACGTTCTCCAGAGAAACAGCACAATCAAACCTATCATCTTGTAGTAATAAATTGTAGAAAGAACTTGCTTTACTTGCCTAGTTCCAAAGCTTAACCCTTTGCTGATTATTCAGATAAGCATACCAGTTATACAAGCAAGCATATTTTTGACAAGTTATTTCCTCAGTGAGCAGTTCAGAACACTTGAATTATGCTTCCCCCCCCCAAAAAAAAGATTTAAGAGTAGAGTCCAGGATTCACTTCTACCAAAACATGGAAGCACTTACTTTTTGTATACACAGAAAGCACCTCCATGTTAAAGTAGAAGGGGTCCATATAAGTAGCACATTTCAGCATTCTGTTTCCCCATCCATCAATCCAGAGCAGCAAATAAACTTTAAAACAGCCACCACCACATAGAAATACTTGAACAAAACATGGTTCCCCCCCCTTTTTTTAAAAAAAAAATTACCTTGTTCTGGTCTTTTTACATCCACTAACAAGCTGCCTCCTTGGGTGTCTCTTTATACCACATCCTAACAAAGAGTAACACTTATGCCAAACAGACATTAACTAGATCTTTTGTTATTTAATTCTTACATTCCAAAAGGGTATGTTCCTGGGTGGGCCTCTGTGAAAAAAAAAAAGAGTTGTCCCATTAATAGTTAAAATCTATTACTTCAAGCTTCCTTTACCTATTATAAATCCTGTATCTACTTATTTGATAGCACAGATTAGGTTAACAGTGACACATTTTGAACAATTCTTAACATTAACAATTCTCTTATCCCCATTGTGTTTCTGTTTTCAAAGCTCTTTTATTGTTTAGTCCTTAAGTCATGTTGGACTGGACTCTTCATGACCCCATGGACTAGAGCTGGCCAGGCCCTCCTGTCTTCCACTGCCTCCCGGCGGTGGGTCAAATTCATGTTGGTAGCTTCGATGACACAGTCCAACCCTCTCATCCTCTGTCATCCCCTTCTCCTCTTGCCGGCACACTTTCCTAACATCAAGGTATTTTCCAAGGAGTCTTCTCTTTTCATGAGATGGCCAAAGTACTGGAGCCTCAGCTTCAGGATCTGTCCTTCCAATGAGCACTCAGGCTTGATTTCCTTCAAAATGGATAGGTTTGTTCTCTTTGCAGTCCGGGGGACTCTCTAGAGTCTCCTTCAGCATCACAATTCAAAAGCATCAATTCTTCAGCAGTCAGCCTTCTTTATAGTCCAGCTCTCACTTCCATACATTGCTACTGGAAAAAACATAGCTTTGACTATGCGGACTGTGACGTTCCACCCAGTGTTCCCTGTTTGTTTCCCCAGGTTCACTCTCTGGATATGTGTACTCTTTCTTCTGCTACCACCAGTGGATCTCTCATTCACACTGCACCATATATGCATCAGACACATGCTGCCAATATAACTTGTTTATTTATCTTCTGGTTTTTAAACCACAGATGTTCTTTTATTATTGTTTAGGATCACTCATTAAACTTCTTATATTTGATTACACGTTTGCTTATTCAGGTGTTGTATTTACTTATTCACATTAACCAACTCCTTAATATTCT